TCCAGTCGCGAGTCTGGGCCCTTGGAATGTCTGACTGACCAGCTCTAAATCAGGGTTCCCATGACCTCCTCCCCAAGGTTTGATTAATTTGCTAGAGTGGCTCACAGAACTCGGGAAACATCTACTTATATTTACTGGTTTATTATAAAGGATATTACAAAGGATATAGCTGAAGAGATGTATAGGGTGAAGTTATGTAGGAAGGGGCGCAAAGCTTCTATTTCTTCCCTGGATGTGCCACCCTCCAGGAATCTCTATGTGTTCAGTTATCTGAAAGTTTCTCCTTTCTTCCACCCATGTCCTTTTGGGTTTTTATGGAGTCTTCCTTACTTAGGCATGATTGATTACATCATTGGCCACTGGTGATGGACTCAATCTTCAGCCCCTCTTCCCTCCTGGGAGGTTGTTCCAACACTCTAATCATTTCGTTAGTTCCCCTGGCAACCAGCCTCCATCTAGATGGTATCCAGGAATCCCCTGCCATCAGTCAATTCATTAGCACACAAAGACACATAACACCTTTTCCCAAGGATTTAAGGAGTTCTATGCCAGGAAACTGGATCAAGATCAAATGTATACATGTATTTCACAATATCACAGTGACTTAGCAGACCTGAAAGACCTGAATGAGAAACTACTGTAGTAGTATCAATTTACTCTAGAATAAGAAAATACTGAAAAATTGGAAAAGTGAGTTTATGCCTCCTGTGTGCTGAAAACCCACAGCCCTCTATCCTACACAGCTTCCAGAATATGGCAGCCTGGCCTTTACCCTCCAGGTAGGAGATTGGGAGATTCTTCTCTAGCCAATCTGACTACCCCAAGAGGAGAGACCTAAAGATACTGACACTGGAGGTTCCCCAATTAAATGGCTTAGCCTGATCACCTTAAATTGTGCCTCATAATTTGGCAACCCTTTTAAATAACTTTGTGGTCTGTCACACTTAAATAAAAACGTCTAAAAATAGGCCTCTTAACATGAAAAGTAGAGTTTAAAACAAACAGAAAAAAAGCTGTTGGGAAGAATCAGACTATGCACATAGAAGAAAACTTAAACAAAACTTCATTGATCTCCTTAGAGAGGTGGACTTTTACAACCATGAAATAAGAACAGGATACTCTAGGGCCGGCCTGTGGTTCACTCGGGAGAGTGCGGTGCTGATAACACCAAGGCCATGGGTTCGGATCCTATATAGGGATGGCTGGTTCGCTCACTGGCTGAGCGTGGTGCTGACAACACCAAGCCAAGGGTTAAGATCCCCTTACTGGTCATCCTTAAAAAAAAAAAAAAAAAAAAAAAGAACAGGATACTCTATAAAACCATACTTTAAAGAACCAAAAAGAGCTTTTGGAAATAAAAAATAGAGCAGAAACAAAAATTTCAATAAATGGCTTGCAAGATAAAGTTAAGGAAGTTTCCCAGAAGAACAAGGGGGTAGTAAATAGCAGAGAAAAGGAAAGAATCATGAGGATTGGTCCATGAAGTCTTTCAGCACAGAAGGATATGAGTTTCCAAATAGATAAGGCCCATTGAATGACAGTACAGTGAATTTAAAAAAAGACACTGGAAAATTTTAGAACACTGGGGACAGAAGGAAGCTCATAGAAGCATCCAGACTGAAAAAAAAAAGGTCATATGCAAAAGATTAAGAATCTGAATGGCTTTGGTATTTTCAACATCAGAATTACAAGTTGGAAGGAAAGAACACTGTCTTCAAAATTCTGAAATAAAATGATTTTCAACCTAGAATTCTTAACCCAAATTATCAAGTATGAGCATAAAGATATTTTCATATGTACAGTGTCTCAAAATTTACCTCCCCTGCATCTTTCCTCCAGGACCTGTGGGAGAATGTACTTCATGAAAACAAGGAAGTAAGTTGAGGATGACAGGATAAAAGAAACATGATAAAGGCATAGGGACCCATAGAATGCTAATGAAAGGACAGCATAGGATGATGATGTGTACCAGGTGTAGAGAACAGGTGCAGATTGGAATGGATCAGAATACTCAAGGACAGTCTTCAAAGTGAAACTGATGCATCTGAATTAACATCTTGGGAAAATTTAGGAAACTAGTGAAAGGGTGAATTAGTGACAAGCACAGAGAAAATGAAGTAAGGGCAATGATAATGATTAATTATAGAGAGAACAAAGAATTGTTCAGGAAACAAAAAAATCACAGTTTACCACATAGCTTAGTTGGGAATTGCATTTATGAAGTCATAATACTGTAAAGGCTGAATACTCATCTAACGCAGTAATTTATCAACTGGGAGTGATTTTCCTCCCCTCAGGGAACATTTGACAGTATCTGGAGGTATTTTTGGTTGTCACAACTTGGCAGCTAGTGCTGTTGACATCTAATGGGTAGAGGCTGGGGGTGCTTCTGAACATCCTACAGTGCACGGGACAACATCTCTTAACATAGAATTATCTGCTCCAAAATGTCAATAGTGCCAACATTGAGAAACCAACCAAAACTATGATATAATTTTGTTGGGAGAATGGAAAGATGAGAAAGATATGCAGAATGGGAGTGGAAGAGTTAATTCTTCATCTGCCATAGTAGAAGTCTATAGAAAATGCCCCAGACTGAGAAAATAAATAGTAGACTGGGTTTTTTTTGAGACGCGGAGGGAAGTTATATAAAATTAGACAAAAGAAGGCTAGGTTTTGCAGTGCTATTTGTGCTGTGTGCGCCACCCAGTGACCAATCTGGGACTTGGGCTGTGGTCTATTTTGTAGTTCTTAAAGACTAATACGCTGTTTATAGTCTAATGCAAGAATGTGCAGCTCAGGGTTGAGCTCTAGAGTTCATAAACAGTTTTATTGGGCCATTTTCCTGAGCTGCATTTCCTGTTATCTCCCCTTTACTTGCTAGTTCCCTGGGGCTCCCCTTTTTGGTGCTACAGCCAGAAAATCACTCTTAACACACTTCATGGAATGTTACATTAATTTTATCATTTGAGAGTTTTTTTGAGATTTGATTTGAAACTTGGGAACAGCCAAGAATCATGTAGCACTGTAGCTTGTGAATAATGTATATGATGAAACTGAGTGATACTATTTTTAATTTCAAAAATCGCTCTAAAATCCAGCCAACTTGATTTATGTAGTTGAATCTGTCTTTAACGGTTGCTGGAAATAAGGATTACTAGAAATGCTTAGCAGTGGAAGAAGTATGATAGTACTTCAGGAAGTTCTTGGAAAGATTTGTATTATCTTTTAGTTCTATTTTTCTACAGACTTTTTGAAGTATTGATAGTTGCTTAATGACTGCTGTAAATCATATTCATTTAGATTTATAAATTATAACTTGTATATTTCACAGAAAAAGGAGACTTATTATCTCGATTGTGTACATATGTCCATATAATATAGTATATATTTATCTTATATAGTCATCCCTCGGTATCCTCGGGATTGGTTCCAGGACCACCCCCCCCATGGATACCAAAACCTGTGGATGCTCAAGTCCCTGATATAAAATGGTATATAATATTTGCATGTAACCTACATACATCCTTCTGTATGCTCTAAATCATACCTAGTTTACTTATAATACCTAATACAATGTAAATGCTGTGTAAATATAGTTATCCTTTGGTATCCGAGGGGGATTGGTTCAAGGATATCCCCTGGATACCCATATCAGCGGATGCTCAAGTCCAGTGGCCAGCCATGTGTAGCTTGCAGATACAAAATGTTGGCCCTCAGTCTTTATTTTTCGGTTCTGCATCTTGTGAATACTGTACTTTCTATCCATGGATGTGGAACCCCTGAATACAGAGGGCCAACTATGTTTATTGAAAAAAATCCCCTCGCATAGTTCAAACCCATGTTGTTTGAGTCAACTATAGTTGTTATACTATATTGTTTTTCTATTTGTATTATTTTTATTGTTGTATTTTTATTCCCTTTAATATTTCTGATCCACCAGTGGTTGAATCTGCAGATCCAACTATATGTATATAATGAATGTCTTTCCTGCCTTTCCCCAATGTACTTGGAAAAGACAATTTAGGATTTAAAAAAATGATTACAATTGTCCCTCCATATCCATAGGTTTAGCATCCATAGGTCAAAAAATATTTAAAAAAAAATAGTAATAATACAACAATAAAAATGCAAATTAAAAAACAATACTGTGTAACAGCGCCCTCCATATCCATAGGTTTAGCATCCATAGGTCAAAAAATATTTTAAAAAAAATAGTAATAATACAACAATAAAAATGCAAATTAAAAAACAATACTGTGTAACAGCTATTTATGTAGCATTTACACTGTATTAGGAATTATAAGTAATATAGAAATGATTTAAAGCATACAGGAAGATGTGGATAGATTATATGCAAATATGGCATCATTTTTTATAAGGAACTCAAGCATCCACAGAATTTGGTATCCATGGGGTGGGGAAATCCTGGAACCAGTCCCTCCCAGGATACCTAATGATGACTATATATTTGAAAGTTTGAACTGAGGCTCTGCAGATAAGGCTTTTTAGAAAATCTTGTGTGTTAGTGAGCAACAGAGTATTTTTTTCTTTCTTTTACAATATTCCTTTAATATTTTACATGAGATTAAGCTGATATCAAACATTTTTTATTTGATTGTATGAATATATTTGCAATATTGAAGATGTTACTAGGCATGGGAGGATATCCTAGTGAAGATTGTTTTCTTGCTCACTTTTGATTTATTGTTAGTGAGCTCTTAAGTTTATCTCTGTACTTGTGAACAGAGGGTACACACTCTTTAAAAAATTCTTAGTGAGTTACATGTGATATCTTTCTCTCTCTCTCTCTCTCTGCCTTTTAAAATAGACTTGTCTTCCCTATAGTAATTTCCCCCAAATGTTGATTGCTTCCTTGATCAGGACTGCTATTGGTCCTTTTTTTAAGTTGGTGGGTCAGGGGTAAAGCAATTAAATAGGTTAAAATAAATCTTCATAGTATGTAAATGTAATTTTTGTATGTGTTTTGTTTTTGACAGCCGATTTATTTTGCATATTCCCAGCGAGGAAAGAGACAATGCAATCCGAGTGTGTTTTCAGATTGAACTTGCCCATTGGTTTTACTTGGATTTCTACATACAGAACACACCAGGATTACCTCAGTGTGGGATAAGAGACTTTGCTAAAGCCGATATCCTTTTTGTTACCATAACAAATGTCTTTCATTCTTGTTAATAAACTATTTTAGCACAAATTTCCTGTTGCTTGTCTCTGAGGTTTTTAAGCTATTAGGAGGAACATACTTGGTTTCTAAAAATTGTTAATATTAATAGTAGATACAGTTTAATAGTATTCTTATTTTTTAAGAAATGTGCACTGATGATTAGAATTAAATTTGATTTTCTTTTTTTTGGAAATAGCCTGTTTCTAGAACCGATCTGTTTTTTCCTTTACTCTTGCTTCTCCAGATAACCAGATGATCTTTAATCAGGTTACTACCTTCTACTTTATTAGAAATTTCTTAAATAATTATTGGATATTTACTGTGTTCAAAGCAGTGTTTCTAGTCCTGTGGCAAATACAAAAAGTCCTTGCCTTCGAAGAAGCTTTTTTTATGGAAGCTTGTCATAATTTATTAGTTATAAAAGATTCACATGAATATTTAAGATTATAAAAGAAGCTGTCACAAGTCAAAAAATTTTGCTGAATTGCTAATGGTCTTGATATTAAATGTTTTTAGAATTCAGAAAAAGGATGAAAAGATTTTATGCAAAGATATATTTTTAAAGGAGTATAGGATTTTCTAAATAGAAGTGGGGAATATGTTCCAGGTAAAGAAGAGGGATTGAGTGAAATTGGAGAGTTGGAAAAGTTTTAAGGGATATCTCAGGAAATAAATTAGTTTGTATTGAGCAGAGGGTTCTTATGGGGCCATAGTAGGAGATATAGAGCAATAAGGTCTTCAGCTATAGCAGCAGGACTATGAAGAAAACGCTGATGGGGGACAGATTTTGAAGGAAGAAATGAATCCCATGAAATACAGAAACCCCTAGGGCTGTGGAAAATGGATGAAACACTTTGTTGTTAACTTAAGCATAGCAAGTTTTAAACCAGGGTAAAGAATATTACTCAGATCATTTAAAAATGGTGTTCAAGAAGATTTATTTGGCAGGATAGATTGAATCATAATTGCGACTGTTACATCACTTGAGACATGGAGCGATAAGGTGTTTATCCGCAGTAGAGGGACTACAAAGAAAACACTGATAGGAGACAGATTTCTTTTCTTTTTTTTTTTTTTTTGTCTTTTTTCGTGTCTGGCAACGGATCGCAACCCTCAGTGTCGCGCCTGTACTGGACCGGGACCGGGACCGGCAACGGGATCGCAACCCTCGGCGCTGGGCCCGCACCTCGCTCAGCCAGTGAGCGGAACCGGTCTGCATGTGGGATCCGAACCCTTGACGGGAGCGCCACAGCGCTCCCAAGCGGCGCACTGTAGCAGTGTGCCACCTGGCCGGCCCTAGGAGACAGATTTCAGAGGGGGAAATGATCCAACCATTTGCCTGATTAAATGTGTAGCAGCTAATGAGGATTCAAAGGGGAATAGAAGTATATTGAGCACCGTCTTTGTTAGAGGCTCGTGATAGTTTCTATGGAGAAATTATAGAAGACTTTAGTTTTAAGGAGTTATAATCTAGTTATAAAAACAGGATTAAAACAACCAAATCCTCTTTTTTGTTTAGGTTTTTTTTAGACTTATGGTTCTACCAGAGCAGCTTTACATACTTTGGGGTTCTGAATAAGAGTTTATATGTGCACATGAGTTTGATACTTTCCTTGCTATTAAAAAATAAGCAACAAAAGCCTCTGTTTTTGTTATGTTTCTTTTAATTTAGTTATATGGACAAGAAACCTTTATTGCTAATGTGGTAGACTTCATTAAATAACTGAGTGGCTGCTTCATGCCAGGTATTATGCTGTGAACAAGGTAGACTCAGGATCTTCAAGAAGATGAGTGAGAGAGACAGGAAGGGAAATTATTATAGTGCAGTACAGTAAGATATATGTAATAGGGTAGTACAGGGTTCAGTGGGAACAGAGAAAGATATCCAATCAAGATTTGGGAGCTATTAGTTTGAATCCCAACCTGTCCACTGGAAGATCTTGGGCAAGTTATTTAATTTCTCTTGATCCCAGTTTCTTTATCTAAAAAATAAGGTTAATAACAGTGCCTAATTCAAAGGGTAAGTTTGAGAATCAGGCTGATTCTTACGTGTAAATTGTTTACAACAGTGCCTGCCATGGTTAGTAATAAATGTTAACTATTACTCCTCCAAAAAGAAAAAGATTTGAGGGCTTGATACAAGCCTTTGGAGAAAGTGGTCTATGTGAGAAAGATCTGTATGAGGAAGTAAAAAAAAGGTAAATATGATTATATCTTAAAATAAGTGGGGAGGGACAAGAGATGCCAGAGAGTAATTCAGGAACTAAAACATGTAAGGGTCTTGTAGGCCATACTTGTTTGAAACAGAATAGATTATAGGAGATTCTTTTAAAAAATTAGACTTTTTGTATTGGGGGAAAAAGCTTCAACTTACAGGGAAAGTAAAGGACTATTATGGTGAACCGCCATCATACCCTTCATCTGTATTGATCCATTGTTAATGTTTTGCCACAATGGCTTTATTTGTCCCTATATTTGAAAGACCACTCTGGAATAGTATGGACAGTGGATTGGAGGAAGGCAAGACTGGAGACTGAACTTAGTTGAGATACTGTTTCATTAATTTATGAATGAGATAATGAAAACCGGTGATTGTAGAAATGAATAGAAGAGATCAAATTTGAAACATGTTTAGGAGGTAAATAAGTCATAACTTGGATATCTTAGGAAAGGTAGAAGAAAGGATGGTACCCAGATTTCTGATTTGAGCAATTGAGTGGATGAATGTGTCATTCCATTCATAGGAAAATAAGGAGAAATTTTGTGGGATGGGCTTAGTTATGAATAAGTTGAGTTTGTGGTACCCGTGCAATATTGGAGTGGAGAGACTGGGTACTATAGAAGTTCTGGAAGCCACATTCTTTGGGTTAGCATCCTAACTCTGCCATTTACTAGCTGTGCATTCTTGGATAAATTGTGGGAGCTTTCTATGCCTCTGTCTTCTCTTTTGTAAATTGTGCAGTTTTCTGATTTTTCTTTAGTACGTGGCAATGTGGATACAGACATGCGTATCCTGGATTTGCTAGTGGGCAATGGAACTGCATTTCAGAGAATAGTGGGGCAAAGGAATTGATATTATTAAGAGATTGAAAGTGGTAGACCATATTGTTTAGAGAAAAATATAAAAGCAGGAGGGTGTTAATAGAGAGGAAAACAAAGACTGATAGAGAATAATGATGTGGTGGGAGTAATTAAAAGTGAGTCTAGCAGGTTATGGTCACGGTTTTTTATTTTAATAACTACAGTAGTAGGTTTAGTGAAGGCAAGGTCCAGAATGTTGCTTTGGGAATGGATATGAAGGACAAGGAAATCAAGGAACTGAGGCTAGAACTTGAGATGAATTGTCCATGGAGGAAATTGATTTCATTTAAGATAATGGTGGGATTTTTAGTGAAGGCAAGGTCCAGAATGTTGCTTTGGGAATGGATATGAAGGACAAGGAAATCAAGGAACTGAAGCTAGAACTTGAGATGAATTGTCCATGGAGGAAATTGATTTCATTTAAGATAATGGTGGGATTTTGGATGGAGATTACTGTCCGATTGTTCATACCTAGAGCAGGTTTTTTTCATGTTTTTGCAAAAATGTTAGAATAAAAAGAGAATCTGTGTAATGTAAGTGGACATGTGCTTAGAATTCTTAAGGAACCGAGACAGTCATGAAGTCAGAATCTAAAAGAACTTAGAAATGATAGTTAATAATTATTCAGTGCATGGCGTAGGCTTTTTCAAATTAAATGTATTATCTCATTAAATAAAAATGGTATTTAAAAAAATTTCTACTTCCACAGTTGAGTTGAATTACTTTTATGTACTATCAAGTATGAAGGAGGATAGAAGAGTTGTCAGTGGGGAGATTGATATTTTGTCACTAGCAAATTGTGTGGACTTGGGCACTTCAAGGACTATAGGTTTTTCTCAGTGTTAATTGCAAGTGTGTTTTGAACTGTGGTTGATTGGTTCAGTCAACTTGTTCAGGTTATTTTGTGGTGATTTGGGGATAGAAAAAAATGGATAAATGAAGCATGTAGTTTCCAGACAAGTCAGTTGGTTTGATTTCTCTCACGGAACCTTTTCTTTTTTACAGGTCTCTCTGTGGTTAGTTTTTTAATGGGGAAAAAAAAATCCATTTTTAAAAAAATGTATACTTTGCTTAGATTAAAAAAAAATTTGTGATGACTTTACAACATATAAGGGATTTTACTAAACATGTAAAACTATACTTTTATTGGTAAATAAATACCTTTCAGAATCTTAGGAAGTCTCTATAGAACCATAGGACTTCATGAAATGGTTAATGTTGTATCTAAACTTTTTTCCCTCCCTCCCCAAATGAAGGCGTGGAATAATTACACTGATATTAACCTCCTGCTTGTTTTTTAATTATGATGTCATAGATGGTTGACTTCTTTGGACTCTGAGGGCCTTTTTAGTTCTTACTACAACTATAAAACCAAAACAGATTTTAAAATACAAAATTGTAGAACTCATAAAATTCACATTAATAAAATGAATTTAATGTAATGTTCTTGTTTAAACCAAGCTTCTCATCACAACGTGAATATAGTGCTGACTTCCTTTAGGACATTTTGAGCTTAACGTACTTGTACTACCAGTCCTACCACCATCTTTTTTTGTTCCATCTGCTGTGAAACCTTCCTTTCTATACTCATATTTTGAATTTTGAGGGGTATGCCCTGTTTCTTTTGAAACTGGCTATACTTTCCTTAATACCCAGATTTACCTTTCTTTACAATCCTTAGTAAATCCTCATCTTAAAAATGCTTTTCATTATAAAAGCAATACATGTACATGGTGAAGAAAGTCAACAGTATGGAATGATATACCTCTTCCCTAGTCCTACTTCCCAGAGTTAACCACTCTAACTTTTTTGTTCTTCTGATGGTTTCTTCCTCTTAGCGGTGTATATGTATGTACTTCCGTTTCTTGCTGTCGGTTTCTGTATCAGTAGATTCCCTGATATGATGAATTTGACTTCCGTAATGAGAACTGTTTAAGGTGTTCATATGGTTCTGAAGTCATTTTTGTTAACTCAGTGCTCCAGGACCATGAGTACCCAAAACTTATTGATTTGTGTCTAGGCTAAATGCAGAAGTTAACAATGACTTGTGCAAGAGAAAACAAATGTGGAAAAAACCAAAAATTTTAAACTTAGGTGAGGTGAAAATTTGAGTAATTTCATATAAAATACACGGTTGATTTAAACAGGTCTCTTTATGTATATAATTTCTCAAGATGTATTAAGGGAGAAATGAGCCTCCTTGACACTATTTATACTCTTCAGTCATTGTCCATTTTTGCTGCCTCAAGGTGAAGATGTGGAAAAAGTTTTGGATGAATGGAAGGAATATAAAATGGGAGTACCAACATATGGTGCAATTATTCTTGATGAGACACTTGAAAATGTGAGTGTAATAAAAGATTTTTAGTGAAATGGTGATCTGTTAATTTTTAGCCTATTAACAAAATTTGTTATTTATGTAGTGTTCTGAATCGAGGTTTTAAAATATTCTTAGATATATAGTGCTAAAAGGCCAAGTTCTGCATGTTTTGTCTGCATTTTGGGTCTTACGATTTTATACTCGTTGCAGTTATGGCTTAGTTCAAAAAGAGTTACTTCATTGTTAAAGAAATATGTGGGGAGAATGCCTTTCTTCACACTGATAGAGGTATATTCAGACACGTGGAAGATATTTAGACCAAATGCTGTATAAAATTATTGTTGATAACATTTACCTGAAGGAGAAAAACACATTTGATTTTAGAAAGGAGCATGGGAAAGGAGGGCAAGTTTGATTTTTATCTCTGCTTGTTTTGTAGGTACTACTGGTTCAGGGGTACCTAGCAAAATCAGGCTGGGGATTTCCAAAAGGAAAAGTAAATAAAGAAGAAGCTCCTCATGATTGTGCTGCTAGGGAGGTAAGTCGTTGGAGTTTGAAGCATAGTAAACTTGCCTGTTAGGCTCCAAGTATGGTTTTTTAGCTGTATAGACTTGTTTGGACAATCTAATTCTCTTTCCAGAATTTGAGTGCATGAAATAACTTAAATTTTATAACATAACTGTTGGTTCTTTTGTCCACATCTCTATCATTTATTCTTCTGTTCCCATTTTCATTTGTTATTTATTTTTTGTTTCTTTTGCTCCTTTCTCTATGATGGTATCTTTTCCACCTTTTCCTTTAGAATTGGATTTGTAATTAGTGAAATATTTTGGCTATTATAATCCTTGTTTTATATTTATAGTCTTGACTTCTCAACAACTGTACAATTTGGGTTTTTCTAAGAAACTAACGTTTGTTGCTCAAAACACATTCCAGCCTCTCAGTGCCTATAGGATAAAGTTTAATTCTTTAAGTGCAGTAAACAACGGACTGCATATACAGTGATATCCATAAGATTATAATGGAGTTGAAAAATTCCTGTAACGGTGCATTACTCATAGGAACAATAGCCTAAACCATATATTGTAGGTATGTAGTAGGCTATGTCATCTAGGTTTGTGTAAGTTTGTACAATGACAAAATTGTCTAAGAGACATGTCCCCGTCATTAAGTGACCCATGACTGTTTAAACTTGGTTGCCTCCCTCCAACACAAACTTAGTCATTTCTGGATTTATTATATTAAAAGTCAAAAAGATTTATTCTCTGTTTTTTGACTCATTTGTTTCAGCCTGTAAAAAACTTCGCTAATATTTTCCTACCTGGAATGTCCTCTTTTCTTCCTGCCTCTCTAGGTATGTTTCTAAACGCAGCTCAAATAATCCTTTTTCCTGCAGGAATGCCACCAAATAGCTCTATACATAGGGCTAGTTTCTTTCTTTCTTTTTTTTTTTTTTTCTTAAAGATGACCGGTAAGGGGATCTTAACCCTTGGCTTGGTGTTGTCAGCACCACGCTCACCCAGTGAGCGAACCGGCCATCCATAGGGCTAGTTTCTTATGTATAGTGCCTGAGTTTCTTATCTGTAAAATGAAGTTTAGAATGGATAATTTCTGAAGTTCTTTTTTTTTTGGTGGCTGGCTGGTGCAGGGATCTGAACCCTTGACTTTGGTGTTACAAGGTGGTATTCTAACCAATTGAGCTAACCGGCCAGCTTGTGAAGTTTACTCTTAAAATTCTGATTTAAAATCTTACCAATCAACTCTAGCTGGTGGCTGGCTGGTGCAGGGATCTGAACCCTTGACTTTGGTGTTACAAGGTGGTATTCTAACCAATTGAGCTAACTGGCCAGCTTGTGAAGTTTACTCTTAAAATTCTGATTTAAAATCTTACCAATCAACTCTAGCTCATAGTAAGTCTCTGAACATTAATAATAATTATTGTCTTTATTATTCACTTGTGATGGATTGTGTACTGTATTCTTATTTATTTCTTATCCTTTATTGCATTATGCTTTATCTTTGAGATTTGAAAAGTTGAGCTCTATAGGAAGGATAAATGGAAAGACTGGCCTAGGAATTGAAAGATATTTGTTTTAGTATAGCCTCTGTGACTCAGTAGCCTAGAGACTTTGGACAAGTCACTTAATCTCTATAAGTTATAAATTTATTAAGGAGAGTCACTCAAAGCCTTCATAATAGGTAGAAGTAATATCCTTAAGGAAAAACTAGGTGGTAGTGATTTGAATTTGCGGTTTTTTTTTTTGAGATGGTAATATGGATTTTGTGGCATATTATATTAGAATCCATTGTCTAAAATGTTATTTGATGCATTGTTTTCCTGTAGCAGTGTTTACTACCTAGTTTATTTGTAACTGTTAGTGAGGGATAATAGTTAAAATTCTTATAAATCACTAGTGGTTATTTGCCATAGAAAAATCATTAGTGGTTATTTATTTATTTATTTGTTTTGTCCTTTTCGAGACCGGCCACACTGCGCTCAGCCAGTGAGCACACCGGCCATCCCTATATAGGATCCAAACCCGCAGCGGGAGCGCCACTGCGCTCCCAGCGCTGCACTCTCCCGAGTGCGCCACGGGCTCAGCCCTAGTGGTTATTTATTTTTGAGTGGGACTGAAAATGCTGTATTTTAAATTCAGTATGGAACAGGTTATCCAAGACAGTATTTGCAACAACTTATAGACAAAGCCGTTGTAAACAAGTAAATGAAGGTTTATGTACATCCCTTAAAATTGAAAACTGTTTGGGGAGAAGGTGAGGAATTGCCACATCCCTAAGACCTGTTCCTTTTCTTTCTATAGATGGCAGAAGATAAGATGGAGCAGTAGTAAAAGTCTTCACTTTTATGTTCTCAAACTTCGTAGTTCTCTTGCTCATTAGGAAGGACAAAATAGGAGCCATAGTATCCTTCTTAGAGGAATTGATCTGTAGTCCTGTACATGGAGTTAGACGAGTCTTAACAGCAACAAGGTAATTGTCCAGGTCCAGAAAGGCCATTAAGTTAACTGGAATAACAGAAATTTAGTTTAAATTGGGTGGGATCAGCTTTGTCTATAATTGGATCTTCAGGGGGTAAATCAAATACCTAAACTTGCAAGACTGAAGTACCTCAGACTCATGGGATCTACCTGCATCTACCACTAGAAGCTTCCATCTGAGGAGTTCTATACACTGTATTTCAAAGAGTCAGAATGATGCAGAAATAGAATATTTAGAGAAAGAGGCAGTTAACCTGTGAACTGAGGCACCTAGTTTTTGGTTTTTATCTTATTTATTTTCTGCTCTATGATACTGAGATAAAAGGTGCTAATTTTAGTAATGACTGTAACTCACCATAAATTATAGGCAAGTAAATAACATGTATTCTTAGGGCATGGGAAATGGGAGAATGGAGTGTAGATGACAGAATCTAAAGGAAGTCTTTTGGGGAGGGATTCCACTATTCTGGGAGGGGTTGTCTCCACTTTATAGGTGAGAGAACTGAAACAGCAGTTTAGTAGCAAGCGTAAAGTCTGACATCAGAGTAAGCAGCAGAACAGGGATGTAAACCCTGGTGGTCTGGCTCTGGAGTCGATGTACTAGACTATTGCAATTTAGGCACTCAAGCAATATTTGTTCATAAATAGATGAGTGATTCTAAACGCACACACAAAAACCAGAAGGAATTTATGATTTTTAAGTATATCTTAATTTTTATTAACATTTACCTTTCTGAATTGGATCAATATGGTTTGTTTGTTTCTTTTCTCCCTGTTTTAGAGTTTTGTCTTGTTCTGAGGGAAGTATGGGCATTCTGAGGAACCATAGTTCCTTAATTTCAGGGAAAACATTTTCCCTTTGATAATAGGATTTAACTTCTAAACCGTCTTTTTCATCTTGGTGTTACAGCTGATCAAGGAACTTGGCAGAAAATACTTGGCTTTAATTTTTATAGTTTTTGTATTAGAAGTTTTAAAAGCAAATCCTGAGATTTTTTTTTTTTTTTTTTGGGGGGGGGAGGGGACCAGTAAGGGGATCGCAACCCTCGGCACAGTGTGGTCTGCACCATGCTCAGCCAGTGAGTGCATCGGCCATCCCTATATAGGATCCAAACCTGTGGCCTCGGCGCTATCAGCACCACACTATCCCGAGTGAGCCACGGGGCCAGCCCAGCAAATCCTGACTTTTATTCCCGATTTTTAAATGACTACCTTTGACGTAAAGAAGTTTGGGGATTAAGGTAGAGTGTTGCTGTTTTAGTTACCTTGGGCTTCCATAAGAAAACATCAGATTGAGGGCGAGTGGCTTAAACAACAGAAATTTATTTTCCAACAGTTCTGGAGGCTGGTAAGCCCAAGATCAAGGTTCTAGCTGCTTCAGTCTTTGGTGAAGGCTCTTTTCTTGGCTTGTAGACAATTGCCTTCTTGCTGGGTGCTCACATGGCCTTTCTTGGGTATGTGCAGAGAGAGCTCTGGAGTCTCTTCCTTTTCTTATAAAAGGTACCAGCCCTATCTCCAAATATGGTCACTTAGGATAGGCTTACCAGCCCTATCTTCAAATATAGTCACTTAGGTTAGGGTAGGGCATCAACATATGAATTTGGAGAGGTGGAGGACACAATTCAGTTCATATCAGTTGCCACTTTTGACTGATGATGATGAAAATATTCAACTGGCAGTCCTAGAATTGCAGTATGTCCTTCTGCCACTTGGTGGTACTGCAGTATACTAGAAGCAGCACTGTTTGAAAGCAGGGAAACTACCAGTTAAGTCTTAGTTAAAAACCATGTCATTATTAACCCTTATTTTAAGTTGCTAATAACATTATTATTTGATTTATTATAGCATTCCTACAGTTATATATACATATTTTTTGACTGACACATAATTATACATATTTATGGGGTACAGAGTGATATTTTCATACAGGTATACATTACAGTTATATTAATGTTATTATTTCATTATATATGGCAGTCCATAAGTGTTTAGTCAGGCTGTAGCAGAATTTGACATGTCCCATAACAGGGCTGTTTTTGTGAGCTGAGCCTAAAGAAGCAGTGGCAAACACTTCTCAGGGAGAAGATATGAATAATTGTGAATAATTGTCAATAGAAAGCTAAGGACAATCTTAATTAGTGATTTCCAGTCTTCGATTTGACCTTTTGGTTCGCCTTTGCTAATTGGATTATTTCTGAACAATTTTATTCAGTGATGTAGATATAGAACAAAGATGTGAAAAAAGTTTTCTAGATATTGTTGAAGGAGGCATAATAAATAATCTCAGTGTATTTTTGTCATTTGTGGTGAAACCAACTGTTCTTGAGAACAAGTAAATGATACTTGGCAGTTCACTTGTGGTTTCAAGATTATGTATTGTTGCTTATTATTTGGCAAAACAATATGTTTTATTCTAATAAAGCTGACTTTAATATGCATTCATATGGTTTAATTGATAGAGTTCATACAGAGGAACTCTTGGTTTATTCTCCCTCTTCCTGTAGACTTTTAGGACAAAGAGGATTTCATTGTCTTTCTGTACTGGTGCTCTTTGGGTAAAACTTTTTTTTTTAGTCTTACATGGGTTTTTTTTTTTTGTGGCTGGTACAGGTATCTGAACTTCACCTTGGTGTTATAATACGTGCTCTAACCAACTAAGCTAACAGGACGGCCCTATTACGTGAGGATTTTATCAGATAGCATTGGAGAAGTTAATGCTGTTCCATGTGCCAAGAAAATTAACTCAGTATACAGGAATGAATTTAATTCACAGAAAGTGTAATATTAAAATTTTTGTCTTTAGTGTCTGTACACATGAGACAGCTATTAAAACATTTTCCTGGTAAATATTTGATAAAAATGAATGCCTAGTTTTAGAGGCAAATCCATCTTTATCACTTTCAGAATTGAGAGGTTATGTCTGTTGCTTTTATTGTGTTCTCAGTTTGATTGTACAGAATTTGAAGCTGCCTATGTTAGTGCTAAATGGCCTTTTTCATTTTGCCTCATATTGTACCACTTTCTTCCATGTAATTCTTTACCTATAGCCCTTCCCAGGTATCTGAATGGAATGCCTTTTTCTTCTTATTTATCTGGCAAACTCCTATTCATCTTTAAGTTCTAGCTCCTGTGTATCAAACAGAATAGCATGCTGTTCATGACAGCCTTCCAGGATTCTCAAACACATCTATCCAAGGCTGAGTTAGGCACCCTCCTCCTACCTTTTAGGACTTAAATCATGTTAAAATTAATTTCTTTTTTAGACCGAACTCCTTAAAGGGGAGAGTGCTTGCTTTATTCATTTCTGAATTCAGTACCTAAGACAGTAACTGTCACTTATTAAGCACACAGTACGTATTAGAATGGATGCAATGAAAATAACTACATATTTTGGTTACAATGTGACTCCATAAAAATAGTATCAATAGTAAGATAATTTTAAATATAGAAAAAATTTTAAAGGCCGGCCCGTGGCTCACCCGGTAGAGTGCAGTGCTGATAACACCAAGGCCACGGGTTCGGATCCTATATAGGGATGGCCGGTTTGCTCACTGGCTGAGCGTGGTGTTGACAACACCAAGCCAAGGGTTAAGATCCCCTTACCGGTCATCTTTAAAAATAAATAAATAAATAAATGAGTTAGATCTATAGCTATCAACTGGAAGGAATTTCCTTACACTATAATTTCTTTCTTAAGTAGAACTCCTTCCCAAACAACACTCACTTTTTTCTACACTTTACTGAAAAGACTCACTGTTTTGAATTCTATCAACTATTGATTAATTAGCTTGTTCTTAAACTCCATGTAAATAGAATTTTGCAGTAGATACTCTTTTCGTTTGGCTTCGTTGGCACATTACAATGTCTGTCAGATTCATCTATGTTGTTGCATGTATCAGTAGTTTGTTCTTCTTGTTATTCTATGTAGTATTCCAATGTACAAATATGCCACAATTCTTTGTCCATTCTCTTACACTTTGGATTGTATCCAATTTTTCCTATTAGAATAAAGCTGCTGTGAATATTCTTGTACATGTTCCTTGAGGGAAATAGGCCCTTGTTTCTCTAAAAGTGTACTTGCTGAGTTGTAGGGAGGCTACTACCAATAGTTTTCCAAGCGGTTGAACCAATTTACGTTCCTAACAGCAGTGTATGAGAGTTCTAGTTGTGCTGCATCCTAGCTTACACATCAAATTATCAAATTAAAAATTGTTTAACTTCTGGCGGGAATGTTATGGTATATCATTGTGGTTTTAGTTTGCATTTTCCTGAAATTTAATGATCTTGATTACCTTGTCATGTTCTTATTGGCTATTTGAATATTCCCTTTTATTAAGTACCTATTTACATGTTTCTCATTTTTTAAAAGTCAGGTTACTTGTCTTATTGACACACACACACATACACACACACGAGTTTTAAATATATTCTGGATATAAATGTATCGAGTGTCTTCAGATTTATATTTCTTCCCTTTTGACTTAATGGTTTCTTTGATGAAGAGAAACAATTTCACATATCGTTGATATGTAAACTTTCAGGTAAACTAGTCTTCATTGTTATAAATCTAATCTGTTAAGATTGATTTATTATTAATCAGAAACATTTTTAAGCTCTGTCTCAAGCAGTAAGACCTGACTTTCAAAGAAAATGAAAAGCAAAGAATCTGGACTTTTGCTCTAATAGGAATGCTCAGACACCATGCATGGGTCTTGAAATAAATCCACAGGATTGATGGTTTAATTACATTGTCTTCTGTATATAAATGTTAAGATTTGGGGAAGTGGTAAACTGGGACACCTCTATCACTAAGCCTTCAGAATTTTATCCTGGGAAAGTTATATAGTTGGTAAGTTTGAATGTTAGTGATCAGCTCTACAGTGGGCTGTTCCTGTGGATATAGAGAAACATAGGACACAAGAACTTTGTGGTTTTTTTTTCAGTATCACACATGTACTCCTGTATCTAGTCTATCCATTTCCAGAAGTAGTAAATACAAATAAAGTCTCCCCTTTTCTGAAATTTTGTCTTTGAAGTAAACACATTTTAATGAACTGGAAGTCTAACAGCTAAAAGTGAAAATTTCATCCAAATTTATTTCCAGGTCTTTGAAGAAACTGGTTTTGATATCAAAGACTATATTTGTAAGGATGATTACATTGAACTTCGAATCAATGACCAGCTTGCTCGTTTGTACATCATTCCAGGAATTCCAAAAGACACAAAATTTAACCCGAAAACCAGAAGAGAAATTCGGGTATGTAACAAGTGAAGAGTATTTTCAGGTTGCTGGATAGTATCCCAATTGAATGAAGTGGGAATTCCTTTTAGAAAGCCCTTGATAATAACTAACCAAATGAATTATTTTCTTTCATGTTTCAGAACATTGAGTGGTTCTCCATTGAGAAATTGCCCTGTCATAGAAATGATATGACCCCAAAATCCAAACTTGGTTTGGCGCCTAACAAATTTTTTATGGCCATTCCCTTTATCAGGTATGTTCGTATTTCTTGAAATATAAAACTAACCTTCGTGATTCTGATAGTTTCTTTCTGTAGTCAGATTTTAAAAGTGTATTCTTACTCTTTCCATAGACCATTAAGGGACTGGCTTTCTCGAAGATTTGGAGATTCTTCAGACAGTGACAATGGATTTTCCTCAGTTGGTAGCACACCAGCTAAACCCACTGTGGAAAAATTGAGGTAAAGAAATATATTCATGGAATTCTGATTTTCTGATGGCTTTTAATAACAGTAGCATTTCGCTTCCAAACTTTGCAGAGGTATAAGATTCCTTCTTATAGGTACCATTTTGTTATTGGTCTCACAGATGATAGACTTTTTTTAAAAAGGGTTTTTGACGAGATGAAAATGGTTAATTGGAGTTGGAAAGGAACTTCAGGCACATTTTAAAATATGCACTCAAGAGGATACTAACTTTTTAGATGGATAGATAAGACACTAGGAAAAGAAATAATGTGTGTTCATAGTGTTACTTCTCTGTTCTCATATCTTACTTTAGAGATAATTGAATTTCTGAAGGTGTTTGGAGGGGATATATTGAGGTCTGTTTTTGCGTAAGGAAGGTGAGGGATGCTGATATATAATTTGTTAAAGTCAGAGACAAAACTGTGAAGACGTGGGCTTGCTTTTTTCCTTTATTTCTCCTAGCATAGACTGTATTTTATAAAGAGTGTATCATGGACATGAATCATACAGAACATTTTGTTCCTTGGAACATAATTGCATACAAATCACACTTATAGAGTAGGCTGGGTCAGTAACTTTGCTAAATAAACGTATATTTTTGTAATTAGCTTGCTAGAACTTTGCTTATGTTAGGTTTAGAGAGAGTTGATTTACATTTTCTCTAATTTGGATGTTCTGTTTTTATTGTAGAGCTTCAAAAATTAATAGAAGTAAACTATCACATCTATAGTCAATATCTTTTAAATAGGTAGCATTCCATTTTAGTTGAGTTTTATGAGGACAGGAACTTGGACTAAATGCCTTGAGAGTCATTTCTGCTTTTCAGAATCTATGGTTATAATCACCAAGTTATGTACTACTAGACATAAGTGAAACAGTGTAGTAGAAAAAGTAAGGTAGACAGAAATGCAGCCAAGATGAAAAAAGAAACAAGGACACTATCAAAAAGTTATGAAATAGTGACAGTGTTTGAAAAAAAAAATATGTATGAACCTGTTTGGAAGAATCTATCTACCATAGTGTATGGTATGATTCCTGTATGTTTTAGTCCTATGGTTTATGCTCTTGTTGAGTGAATAGGGTGATGATAAAGCAATCTCTCTAACCAAATTTCAGGTTTCTTATAGAGGATCGTGTGTATTTTTAGTATATAGACTAACGTGTGTGATGATGTATTGGAGGAAATGTCTGAATTTTGTCTAAAGAAAGGGTAGAAAGAGTGAAATTTTATTACAGTTCTTAAATGGGAAAGGAGAGAAGAATTCTGAAGTATTCTGAAACAATCTTAACTATAATGTGGTTCTTGGGAGCATTGACTCTGGACTTATATATGTAAGTGCTATTGTATAATGAGATTACTTACATTACAAACTACTGCATGAGTATCACCGTTTAGAATCAGATTCTTTTGCATAAGAATTTGAGACTGGATCTTTAATTTGCTCATCCATTGTCTTGTGTCCCTTAATTTTTTGATTTAGAATATAGCTTAATTTCTTATATTCTTTTCCAGCATGGATGGTGTCCATAAGTGATCTATGTAGGATCAGATTCCATACTTTCAACATCCTAGTAAGAATATGAGTTGTCTGTCTTATTAAGAAGGAAAATTCATTTACATTCGTTTCAACTAAATTTAGAAAGAATTATTCCCCTTAGATTTTTAAGAGTATAATCACTTACAGGAAGAAGATGGTATGGATAATTTTTTAAAGTATGTGATGACAATATAGGGTATTTATTCATTCAAGAAATACTTATTGAATGCACTTTGCTAGGTGCTGGGTATAAAGCAGTAGACAAAGTAGAGAAGAATCTGCCCTCATGGAACTTACATTCCAGTTGGGGGAGATAGACAGTAAAGAAGAAAGTAAGGTATGAAGTTTATAAGTTAAACTATCAAGTGTGACAATTTTCTGATCTGATTTTTGTTTTTGTGATTTTTGTTTTTTAATCTTGGTATAGTCGAACCAAATTTCGCCACAGTCAGCAGTTATTTCCTGAAGGTTCTCCTGGTGACCAGTGGGTAAAGCACAGGCAACCACTACAGCAAAAGCTATATAATAATCATTCTGAAATGTCCGACCTTTTAAAAACAAAGGTGAGTGAGATACATTTGAAATTTTCAGAAGTTTACATCATTTGGCTTTGAGATCATTCTCAATTGAGGAATTGCATCTTAATAGTAATAAAGCTCTGAATTGTTAATAAAGCTCTGAATTGTTAATCAAAGGCTCCTGTGTTCCTGACTTGTGATTTGAAGCAGGGCTAAGTCTCCTTAACCTTGGGCTGGCCCCATGGCTCACTCAGGAAAGTGCAGCGCTGGGGTTGCCGAGGCCGCTGGTTCGGATCCTATATAGGGATGGCCTATGTGCTCTCTCATTGAGCGTGGTGCCGACAATACCGTGCTGAGGGTTGCGATCACCTTACTGGTAAAAAAAAAAAAAAAGACTCTTTAACCTTTACAGCTTTGGTTTAAGTCTAGTGTAGTAAGGTGGGTACTTCAAAAAGTTGTAGAAAAATAGAATTAAAAGGTAATACAAATCTTTCCATGAACTTTCTGAAGTACTCTTGTAAGTAATAGGAATTAACATTTGACTTTGGTATATATGCTTGGCAGCGAAAGGTTCGTTTGTTTGTTTGTTTTTTTTAAAAGATGACCGGTAAGGGGATCTTAACCCTTGGCTTGGTGTTGTCAGTACCACGCTCACCCAGTGAGCGAACCGGCCATCCCTATATAGGATCCGAACCCATGGCCTTGGTGTTATCAGCACCACACTCTCCCAAGTGAGCCACAGGCCGGCCCTGAAAGGTTCGTTTAAAAAGGAAAGTCGTAAGGAAGATATGCTCCAAATTAAGATAAATTGGGTGTATTGGCTTTTGTTCAGGAAAAGTAGAGTATTGTAAAATTTTATTTTTGTTAATTTAGTGTATGATTATACCACAATTTATTCATTACACTCTTAAAGGACATTTTGATTGTTTCTGTTTGGGGGCTTTTGTAACACAGTGCTGCTATGAACATTGTTATACATGTCTTTTGATGAACATTTATGAGTACAGTTCTTTTGGGTACATGACTAAAAGTAGAAGTTGACAAAGAGAATTGATGGATCACTGGATATGCCTGTGTTCTTGAGTACATACTTGGAAGCAATTTTCTCAAGTAATTTATATCCCCAGAAAAATATATGAGAGTTCTAGTTGTTCTACATTCTTACTGATACTTGGTATTATCTTTTTTATTTCAGCCATCCATTTGGGTGCCATTCTTATTTTTTATTTTCATTTTTCTTTTTAAAAATATGCCCAGTGCTATGGGTCAAATGTGTCCCCCAAAAGTTCATGTGTTGGAAACTTGATCTTTGTTGTAATAGTAAGAGGGTAAGAAATCCTGTTATAGTATTTGAAAGGGTGGGACCTTTGAGAGCTGACTAGATAATGAGGACTCTACCCTTATGAATGGATTAATTCATTCAAGGAGTAATAGGTATGGCTCTGATGGCTTTATAAGGAGAGCAAGTGAGAAGGTTAGCTTACTCTTGCTCAGGCTGTTCGCCATGTACCCTGCATTGCTGTAGAGAGTCACCATCACAAGAAGGCCCTCATCAAATGTATTCCCTGGACTTTGGACTTTCCAGTCTCCAAAACTGTAAGAAATAAGTTTTGTTTCTTTATAAATTACCCAGTTTCAGTTATTCTGTTATAAGCAACAGAAACGGACCAATACACTAGGTTTGTCAAAATTAAAAACTTTTGTGCTTCAGAGAATGCTGTCAAAAATGTGAAAAGACAACCCACAAAATGGTAGAAAATATTGCAAATCATATATATGATAAGGGATTAATGACCTGAATATATGAAGAACACTTACAACTCAGCAACAGCAAAAAACCCAATTAAAAAATGGGGAAATGATGGAATAAACATTTCTCCAAAGAAAATATACAAATGGCCAATAAGTACACAAAGAGATGCTCAACATTATTAGTCTTTAGGGAAATACAAGTGAAAACCACAATGTGATACCACTTCTTATCCATTAGGATGGCTATAACCAACAACAACACGGAAAATAACAAGGTTTGGTGAGATGTGGAGAAATTGGAGCCTTTATGTATTGCTGGTGGGAATGTCAAATGGTGCAGCCATCATGAAAAACAGTTTGCTGGTTCCTCAAAAAGATAAAAGAGGAGTAACATATGATCCAGCAATTCTGCTAGGTATATATTCAAAAGGATTGAAAGCAGGGACTTGAACAGATAACTTGTGTAATGTTCACAGCAGCATTATTCACAGTAGCCAAAAAAAAGTGGAATAAGTGCACAACAAATGGATGGATAAACAAAATGTATTTATGTACAATGGAATATTATTCAGCTTTAAAGGAATGAAATTAAGGATTGAAGTTCTTATACATGCTATGGTATGGATGAACCTTAAGGATATGTTAAATGAAATAAGTCAGACACAAAGGACAAGTATTGTGTGATTTCACTTATAGGAGGTACCCAGAATAGGCAAACTCATGGAGACACAAAGCAGACTGGAGATTATCAGGAGCTGGAGGGAGGAGAGAATAGGGAGTTATTGTTTATTGGGTACAAAGTTTCTGTTTGGGGTGATGAAAAAATTTGGGAAGTGGATAGTGGTGGTGGTTGCATAACACTGTGACTATACTTAAGGCCAATGAACTATACACTTAAAGTGGCTGAAGTGGTAAATTTTATGTATATTGAACCACGATTTAAAAACAAAACAAAACTGGGAAGAGCAGAATGAAGTTGAATTAATAGTGTGTGGTAATATGAGTTTCTTTTTTTTAAAAAAAGATGACCAATAAGGGGATCCTAACCCTTGATTTGGTGTTGTCAGTACCACACTCTCCCAAGTGAGCTACAGGCTGGCCTGATATGAGTTTCTGATAGCCATATTTCCCTGCTATCATTTATTTAAGTTAAGGTATTGTTTTCCAGCTGTTTTAGCAACTGCTTAATTTTTTCTGTAGGTAGATGAAATATAAACGTCTATTTATATATTTAAATATATATAAAGTTCTTATTTTATTCCCAGCATTTTAGCCAGTTTTAAATAGCTATCCTTTCAAGCTCTCTTAAGACAAATTAACATTTAAAAAGTTTGTCTAAGTTAAAATTAGAATTTTTTTGTGGGAAAATTAACTCATGTTAAAGCAGTATAATATAGATTTAAACTACTACACGTTCAGATTTTATGTCTAAATTTAATAACGACACCAATTTTTTTTTTTGGTGGCTGGCCAGTACAGGGATTAGAACCCTTGACCTTGATATTATCTGCACCATACTCTAACCAAATGAGCTAACCAGCCATCCCTGACCTTAAAAACACCAATCTTCATTATCATTTTGTAAGAAGAGATTATTCATTTAATAATAATTACTTGTTTATTAACAATTTAAAGCCGATTTCCAAGGTAACAGTTGATCATACATGCTGCCTAGTTCCTGCTCTGACAACTGTGGCCAGTGTGCCTCCACATTCCCTCACAGAGAGGCTCCTTTTAACAGTCATGTAAGGTTTTCAAAACTTGTTTCTCTTTCTCTTCCCCCTAGTTTATTTTCTTCATTTTTTTCTTTTTAACATCATGCACATTTGTTCCATTTATGCATTATAAACAAAATCTGTAAGCAGAAATGGCATAAGGCAGGAGGTATGGAAAAATTCCTAGGGAGCATGGTATTTGCTATTTTATACCTTTAGATTTAACATCATGCACATTTGTTCCATTTATGCATTATAAACAAAATCTGTAAGCAGAAATGGGATAAGGCAGGAGGTATGGAAAAATTCCTAGGGAGCATGGTATTTGCTATTTTATACCTTTAGAGGAATCTTGCTTTGTGAAGCACTATCTTCTATAAGAAAATATATTGATATGATTTATGAAAATTTGGGGGGTTTTTACTGAACTCTTGATTCAACCAGCTAAGCATATTCATAGGGGCATATTCTTTTGTACTATTACATTATACTATAGGTTTACATTTTATTTCTTCTTATTGGAAAAATAGAATCAAAGTATGAGGGGAAATGGCAGAAAACAGTATCAAGACTCACCTAATCAAAAGAAAAGAACAAACGGGGTCCACAGTCAGCCAGCAAAGCAGCAAAATCCCTTGATGGTAAGAGTTAACAGCTTTCATGCTAAGTAGGCAGTTTACCCTTTTTGAGAGTGGAATGAGGGCATTGTCAAGGCACATTAATGTTATTTATTTTGTTCAAATTTTAATTGATATATTCATAGGATTTTTATGGAGCTAAATTGTACAGTTACATTTCACACAAAAAATTAAAAATCTCTCTGGCCACTCTTAATTACAAGTTTTTAACATTGATTCATTTGTACATCGAATCTTTGCTTTTTATGTGGTTATTTACATTTATTTTAATGCCATGAAAACAATGTGTAGTCAAACCTGTTCTCTAGAGCATTTCCTTAGCTATTATTCTGTCTATATTTTTCTAAATTGTTTGTATTATTTTAGTAAAGTTGAAAATTGGATAATTTCACAAAATATTTTTTTTCCTGCAAGTTGATAGAGTTTAGAAAATTAAAAATAAAACTGTCATAGCCATTGCCATTGTCATTAGACTAGGCCTGAAGACAAATAATTGTGAACATTTTAAGGCATGTTCTTGCATTCTTTTATTCAGTCTGTGCTCCTGAAGGTAATTCATAACTAATGGTCTTCTTGCTTATCTTTTCTGTAAATCCTGATATTTGATGTTGGATTTTCTTATTGTAGCTTCGCCTATTTTTTATTTCTTTAACAGTGGATGGTAAAAGTAATTTCATATTTTTAGCAAAAATATTTTACCTGAATTCCCTGGGTGCTGCTTACTTAACTTGGGGTGTAATGACTGCACCAGTAGATATATGTTAAAGATTGATTTGCTGTCAGACTACTTGCCCTTTACTATTATTTCACTTTTACTCTGATAGAAGTAGTGACAAGAACAAAGGAGGCAATCTTAACAGATGATCAGAAGGCTTTTAATAAACTTCAGCATCTGTTTTAACAAAATTTGGACAGATACTTAATGATAATATTGTACAAATGTTAATTCTTCTTAAAATAATGTATAAATTTAACTCGGTACCAGGTAAATCCTTGTGGAATTTTTGAGGGAACTTCACAGATGACTCTCAAATCTGTCAAAAATATCTAAAAGAACTTGACTAGATTAAAAAAAGGTTTTTGAAAAAGAAAGTTAATGATGGAGAGCAAGTATACTAGGGTACTTCAAAAAGTTCATGGAAAAATAAAATTAAAAGATAATGCGAATCTTTCTATGAACTTTTTGAAGTACCCTCATGTGTATAGTTTATAAGAGAAGAAATAAAAGTGACTGAACATATAAAAATTGTTAGATCAAATGTATGGTGAAAGAGTGTAAATTAAAATGAGATTTGACTTTTGTCCATCAGATTGGCAAAGATGAAAAGATTGATAGTACCCAGTTGTGTATTATTGAGTGTACTGGCAACTCATAAAAATTACTAATCGGTACAGCCTTGCAGAGAGGAAGACTCCGGCCATGTCAAAAGCTGGAAAAAGCCGAAAAAAATAATACAAAAAACAGGAAAAAAAAATTCCAGTGAGAGAATGGGATTATATTTATGGTTTAATTGTCTGCCTGAGAAATTTGATAATATATCTTCCGACTTTTAATAAGCAAAATAACTGGAGACTGTGTTATATGTACATGTTTTTTTGTTTGTTTTTAATAGAAATGTGAAAAGAAACTTCATCCACGAAAACTTCAGGATAATTTTGAAACAGGCAAGACATTTTCTGTCTTTTTAAAAAATCTCTGCATTATGGGATTTGGTTTGGTTTTACCTAACTTTGATTCTAGTAGAGTTTGTGATAGTTAAGCCAGAAGAGTTGCATTATGTTCTGTAGAGAGAGTTCATATATGTGGAGTTCTCTAAATATGGAACTGGTTAAAACAAATTTATTTAAACAATCAAGGTGAAATTCGCCCTTTGTGCTATTTCTTTTGTGAATGTCAAGCTTTGGTGCTGAGTGTGAATATTGTAAATAAATAATTGCTTAGTGGTTAGAGAGTAGAAAGAATCAAGTATGGATAGTTTTTTATTAGAATGATGCTTGCAATTTCTTCATCCTCAGTTATGAAAAGTAGGTGTGTTGTATGATTTGGAAAGTAATGATAATGAATGCAGAGGCTCTTTGGTAATACTGATTTAATAGATATCATTTGGAAGTGCAGTAAATGTTTTTTTCTTAGGTGCTATTTTGAATTGCATGAAATTCCCTGTGCAGTAGATACCCATTTATTCATCATATAAATTTAAGGCTTTTCAGCTGGACATTTAGCTCAGCTGCTTAGAGCATGTTGCTGATAACACTAAGGTCCAGAGTTTGATCCCTGTGCCAGCCAGCAAAAGAAAAAAAAAGCATTTAAGGCTTTCATATAGAGAAGTCTAAGAAATGAAAAGAATTATGATATTTCTTATCTGCAATACTGTCTATGATATAAGCACGATAAAAGCTATTTTATTTTAAACCCTATTGTGGAAATTTAAGGTTAACTATGAAGAAGTAGGAACTATCATTAGAGTTTATTTTGATGTAGTCCAACTTTTTTATTATTTTTGCTTTTGTTACCTGTGCTTTTGGTGTTATAGCCAAAAAAATTATTGCCAAAACCAGTGTCAGGGAGCTTTTCCCTCTATGTCTTCCTTTAGGACTGCTGCAGTTTCAGGTTTTAAACATTTAAGTCTTTAATCCATTCTGAGTTCATTTTTGTGGATGTTTTAAGGTAAGGGTCCATTTTCTTTTGCATGTGGTTATCCAGTTTTCCCAGCACCATTTATTGAAGTATCTATCCTTTTCCTTTATTGGAGTTTAGTATGAAGAAATTATGGGAGTAGCAGTCCTCTTAACAGGACTTTTTCTGGCCACCTAAGGTGGTGGGGACATGATAGGCTGATAGTTAAATGTAGTCAACTTACATTCAGAAATTGGTTATCTCACAGAATCTTTTAAAAGCTATATATATGTTCAGGAACATTAAAGAAGGCACACTATAACAGTATAGCCAGCTTAGTTGAGTATTATATGGATATGTAAAACTTTGAGTTGTCTTGAGAAAGAAGTTTAAAAGGATTCTTGTCCTTAGAAACCTCACTTCACACTTTCTTTCTGCCTTAGCCTCTTGATGTTTGTTTCAAACCTACTTTTCTGGTCAGGTCCCTGCCTATTGAAAAAACAAAAAACAAAAAACCCCCAGGTAAATTGGAATTTTGTTCTACTCTGATTTTGAAAATTGGATTTTTCTTTAGGTTGATAGATCCTTGGAAGACTTGATAAACTCCAGCTTTGTTTTTCTAGTATTGTAATTTTTACAGTTCTTACAGGGTAACTGTAATTTTTACATTGTTTTCCTTTTGATCTGTCAAGAAGCTCCTAATATGTTGGCACAAAATACAAATATAGGAGGTAGACAAAGTTCTGCCCATTTTGAAAGCAAGGGAATGAATGTCAAGTGTCTTAAAGGCTGAGATTAAGATTCTGAATGTTTGTGTGGAAGTAAGTAATAATAGATTAGAAATTCAATTGAGTACCAGTTTAGGAAAAGGAAAATATCTTGGTGGTTCTACTTAAATTTAGAATGGAAGATAAACATGTACTCTACATCAATTTCTGTACAGCAAAAGGTAAAGGGCAGTATTTGATTTCTTACTAAGGTTACTGAACTTATTTTGTTTTTTAAACAGATGCTGTGTGTGATTTACCTTGCTCCGGTGAAGACCAGTTGCTAGAGCATGCCGAGGGACAGTCTGTGGCATGTAATGGACATTGCAAGTTTCCGTTTTCATCCAGAGCCTTTTTGAGTTTCAAGTTTGATCATAATGCTATAATGAAAATCTTGGACCTTTGATAATAGCAGGTGTGTTGTAGAAGTCCCAAGATCAGAGACTTGTTGCATTTGAGTGGGTGTCTCCTCAAGCCTTACCTTTCTCAGGAGTTTTAAAGAAATGCAGGGAGGCAATGTTTCTGAAGAGATTTTCTGTGCAAAAGAGACAGTAGAAAGAAATATGAGTTTGCACTGAAAATGCAGTTACAACCTTTTATCAGATTTACCCTTTCAGTGTTTGGTATGAGTTTAAGTTGCTTTTTTTGAGGGCATTTATTCTGTGTGACTGGCTTTTTGTATTTTGGTCAAGAAAATAGTGTTTGAGTTATCATCAAGTATCCCAAGTTAATGATAATGCTCCCAACTACCCATTACTGTGATTGTAATAATAGTTTACTTATAAAAAAGAAACTTTAAAAATACTCAATTATTAAGTGAACATAAGAGCTGAACTGTCACAGACATGAAGATTACAGGTCATCTGCTTTGGTGGCATTTTGCTCATTTCTCTGCTTCTAACCACTGAGACTCTCTAATCCTTCTCTGTGTAGAGTTTGAGAACGTTAATTTAGAGCCAGCTTCTGCAATGTAATGTTCATGTTCAAAATGAACTCTTAGCACTTCATAAGGACAAAGTCTGCAGCCTGGAGAGGGATTGAATTGGTGAGAAGTTGATGCTGTTATTTTGAGTTGTGCTGCATGCAGTCAGTAAACCTGTGAAAATGCTGGAGAGAGGGTAGCAGAGAACGTGAAGGCCGGGACCTGGCAATTACTTTGGGCCATGTCTTTACCATCCTGCCTCCGACTGTTTAGTATTGTACAGTGGTTTTGTTCTTCTGGAAATTTCCTCTATATTCCAGTTGGTGTAAATATGTATGGGAAACTGACATTATTAGGTTTTACATTGCATCTCAGTGTTGACCTATGGAAACTGATGTTGTATTAGGTTCCAATTTGCAGTAGTAGCAGAGACTGACTTGCTTTTATTGGCATACTGAAGCCCCTGGATGATGGAGTGAGAAGGGAAGGGTATGCCGTTTGCCCAGGTACAAGTAAAGCATTTCACTAGGGGAGGATCAGAACATGAAAGTAACATTACATAATTCACTCTTAGGAATGTATTTTGCTCTTTTAGGATTATTAAATCCACAGAAGGATGGCAGGGCCCATTTTAAGGATTTCAGCTATAATTGAGGACAATCACCAGGGCTTTTAGGGGGCTTTAGTGTATTGGCTGCATCTGACCTCATTGAAGGTATTTCGGGGGTGGGGAGGGATGTCTGAGTATGTTTTGTGTGCGTGTATCTGTCATATGCGTTTTTAAAATCTTTTTTTACAAGTGGTATCCACAAAATATATTTTAGCTTGTAAATATTATTGTAGAGATTTTTATTCTTTGTAGGTAGCCTATTTAATAGGGGCTCTGCTTAACCCCGTGGGACTTTTAAAAGAAGGGCTATTGTAAGGAATTCACTTGGTATGCTTTGCTTTAGCTTTTAAATGGCTTGATTTTAAGGGAGAAATTCTATTTATTAATGAAAGTGTCACCCTCTTGGTGCTAAGCAGGAGAATTCACAATTATAGAGTATGTTCAGAATTAGGTTATCCAGAGTCCTGCATCTTTTAAAGTGACAAATTTGTGAATCCTTCTGTGATCTTTACTTTTTAATGCATTATATGATTGCATTTGGAAGCTCTTACTGTTCTTTTCAGAAATACAGCTGCTTTGCTTGGGTCTCCGTGAGCCATATTTATAGTTAGTTGGTCCCAGTATTCCAGATTTCTGTTAAATTGTTAAGGGAGTGAAAACTTAGTTTGCCTGGCAGATGAATAATTTTCACTCATTTACAATAATCTGGAAACCATTTGATTTTTAGTGTTTTTTGCATGCATGTTTTTTTCTTTTTAAGTGAGTACTTTGGTCAGTTTTTCTGGTGCCTATAGAGTTGGATTTTTCAGCTCTCAATACTAAAGCAAAAGAGATTTGAGTTAGTTACCAGAAGTATGGTCTCTAATAGCATTGAGCCTTTTCAAGAAACAAATTGTCCTTTTGATTATAGTAGTTTAACTATGGTTAAATGTTATTACTGTTGTGCTGCTTCATTTAATGCACTGTGGAACAAAATAAGCATCTTGTTGGGAGGTGATTATGATAACTTGAGGCTTTTGCTCTCAATGGTTTTAGGTTTTAAAAAAGTTAAAAGATGTAAGTTAAAGTTTATGTGTGATATGACTTAACTATGCAGAAAATGTTTAAGTTGGATGTACCTGTTTTATGTACATCTGCTGTACTTATTCCTTGAACCTGTGTTTTACTTTCTCAGTGTTCACCATGAGAAAGGCCATGCTTAGCAGAGAACTGATTTCTCCTTTGAGAAATTTTAGCATGGCTTGAGGAAAGCAAGTGATAAAGGAGTATGCTGTGAATATGCAATAATTTACTTCTCCTGAGTGCTGCATTTTAAGAAGCTAGATGAGAGGACTAGTTGTTTTGGTTTCATTATATCTTATGTGTTTGAGAGAGATACTAGGTATTTGAATTTACTTTTTAAATGTTCTTATGTTCCAACCTTATATGTTCCAAGGTGCAGTGCACTGTGAATCTTTTATTTTTAAAAAATTTATAGGTGCTTTTATGTCCATCTTTAATGATTTACAATATGTTCAATGAATTGTTTTTTGTACTTAACCATTGTAATCCAAAAGATAAGGGTATGGTTTACATGCTTTTCATAAGTTGTTTTTAAAGAAATAACAAATGAATGGTTTTAGGATTTAAAGTAGTGATGCCCTCCTGAGACATGAGCATTTGGAGAGGTCTAAGAAACTAACTGAACTCTTTTAGCATGGGTGAAATTTGATTAAAAATATTGGAAAATTGGGCTGGCCGGTTAGCTCATTTGGTTAGAGTGTACCTTATCCCAAGGTCAAGGGCTCGGATCCCCTTACCTGCCAGTCGCCCAACAAACAACAACAACAAAAAGTTGGAAAATTAAATTGGATTTTTGTATTAATATATAAAGAGAAGTTTCCTGATGCTGTCAAAAGAATTGTGGCCACTGCTTGCTATTTTAAGCTTTGAATATCCTTATTTTTCTATTAAATATCAATTACTAAATGCATATAATGAAGACATATAGCAAAATTAATTTTATGCTATAAGATTGGGTTAGTACTTTTTTTTAAAGTATTTACTAATTTGTGTGTAATGTCAAATAAAAAGAACTCAAATCTAAATGAATAACATCCTTCCACTGTAGGAATTAAATTCTTCTATAAAACTCAACGTATTTGTGTTCTCTAGAAAAGTTAAGGTCTGAATGCATGTGTGCATTGAAAACATTTCATTACCTGTTCCTTCAGTTACCTATTTTGTTTTCCTTTTTCTCTTTTTGGTCTCTAGCAGTTACTTAAACAGTAAGGAAAGCAAAGTTGATTATAAAAATATGACTTTTTTTTTTTTTTGTCCTTTTTGAGGCCGCACCGCACTCAGCCAGTGAGCGCCGGCCATCCCTATATAGGATCCGAACCCGCGGCGGGAGCGCTGCCGCGCTCCTAGCACCGCACTCTCCCGAGTGCACCACGGGCTCGGCCCTAAAAATATGACTTTTTGCCAAATTATTTTTCTTACTCTGATACCCTCTCTTGGCTTTTTAGCTTTATTTTTGTACCAGTGGACCTCCCTACTCAGATTTCATTTTGATTGACATCTATTATGTCTCTGTTTTCTGAGGCAGTATTTCCTTTGTATATTAATCATAGTTATAATAAAGTCAGATTCATTAACATTTTTCTTCCTGGTAATTTTGACTTGTATTATTTTCTAGCCTGAGGAAGGGACTCATGTATTGTTGTAACTTTAGATTAATGATAAGCAAGACAAACCATTGTTTTGTCTGAAGGTATCTTTTACCTTTATGAACAGTCTCTAGGTAAACAAGTGTTAGTAAAACAATTTTGTTAAACTTTATTCCTGACAGCTTGGTAAAGCGTAGCTAGAGTTTCTCACTTTGTATTATGTCCTGAGATTTTAAAGTACATCTATATAGTTGCCAAAAATTTTAAAAATGAGATTATGATGGGCTTTTTCAGCATCTTTTTTCTTCCTAGAGTTGAGTTGCTCTTGAAGTCTGTACTCCTGTGTTGAAAAGGTGGCAGACTGCAAATGGGTATTATAGGCTTTGTCCCATATTTTCAAACTAGAGTTCTGGATTGCAATTTCAGAAAATGTCATAGATTATTATTATAGAACAAAAGTGCCCTGAAGGGAGAAGATAGCTATAAGTGCTGGGCAAAAAGACTATAAGGAAATTTTAGAAGATATATCATTATTTGAGTGCTATATGATGCACTAGGCTGGAAATGTGATCATTGACTGGCCTAAGCATAGTCTAATATATACAGGGCCATTATCAAGTGTTTTCTAGCCCTGGATAAAGTTAATTTTTTTTTTTTTTTTGTATGATTGCCAAGCAATCCAGTGAATCTAAAGTAATTCTTCTCACTTTAAAGACCAGTGTTTGGGAGCCTGGTCCTTCCTGTGCTGATTCCTTAGAATTCCAGCCACTCTGAAGTGCACTGCTTTCTTATAGGGGAAGGCAGCCAGAGCGCACAGAGCCATAATCAACCGTGTGTGTCACAGTCACTTTACGGTGGTTTCTATACATTTGTCCTGAATAGTGATTTGTTCCTTTCCATCTAGTTTCCATGTGACAAATAGCATTTACTATTGAAATAGTAATCTGTAGCTAGGGAAAAGAGTGAAGCTAACTTTTGTGCTTGGGAGTGGACTTGAAGGATTGGTTTCCAGCAGCTGAGTTTCTCAGACTTTAACATAAATTTCAAAGAAGTATAAAGAAAAAAAAAAGCTATGATTAAGCATGAAAGTCTTGTCTTGAAAAATGTTCAAAATGGAATCTTTAATCTGGCTCCCCAGATTAAGGAAATCACCAGTAAAGATATTCCATTTTTTCTTGGGTCTTCTGTGGTTAGCAGAGGGTATGGTCTAGCTGTATTAGCAGCTTGAAAGCACAATCTAAAAGGAATTAACCTTCACAAGGTGCTTGCATTTGCTGTGTAGTGTTGGTCAAGTGTACTCTGGGGAGAGATTGAATTGCCTGTGTTTGTGACTCGGTTCAACATGAACTCTCCTCTTAGTAGACTTCAGTCCTTTAGTTCAGTAGAAGAGTAAAGCCTTGAATATGTATTTTCTTCCTTTTGGTGGAAGGGTTCTTACAGGTAGTGGTTGGGTGTTTTGGTTTTTTTTGGCTACTGTCTGTCGAGTGCCATTTGAAGACCTGTCGTTTCTTCCTTCTTGCTACGACTCACCAGGAAGAAGCCATTGAGTTCCTTTTTTTGTTTGTTTTGTTTCCCCTCCCTCTTGGTGTCTTGCCCTGACTGTACAATAATCTTGTGCTACAAGATAATCTTTTTTGTGCTACATCCCTATGGTGATTCTGTCACTGAGAATTTACAAGCAGTGATTATATGTTGCCTTCCAGAGATCTCACTTTGATTCTTGGGCCACAAGCTATGGACACTTACGCTCTTTTAAGACTCAGTGCATGAGGCTGTCAAATTGGTTTGGGAACAAAGAAAACTGTGTGGTTCTAGGGTGAAATGGGCAGTGTTCTGTTGGTCCTCAGACTTTGAGAGATCTTAGTTCACATTTTTAGGGTAGTGATTTTGTGAGGTAGAATGTACCAATTTAATCTACTTTTAATTCATTGACTCTGAAGTTCTAAAACAATCTATAGCTATAAACTGGTGTGAAGCATTTTGGGCACAAGTCTGCATTGCCATTTCTTAAGCTTTAAGAAATCAGCATATGCTTTTGTGATACTTAGGAATAGACTGTGGATGGCAGCAGATGAAAGCAAAGTAAAGGTTCTCAACTGTGAAATTGAGAAAGGAGATAACTATTCCTCGGTTTGGTTGGTTAGATGTGTTAATGCTTTTGGAACATGAGTAGCAGTGGACTTGCACTCTTCATGCACTATATACATGATAAATGCACTGATAGAAAAGCACGAAAGACATACCTACAAGAGTTTTTTGTGCATTTCACTACTGTTCTAGGGCACACTGCTGTCTCTGGTTCTTCTTAGGTTTGGATGTTGCACAAATAACCATTTAATTTCAAATGCAAGTGTCCAAAGAAATGAGTTTTTAATTTTACTTCTTTGTTCATATTTCATTTCAAAGTTAGGACACGAGACAGCTAACGTGACTTGGATTTTGTAAATATAACAAACTCCTTTTCTTCAGTAACAAATACAGAAGAAAAATAAAACCATGAGCTATTTTGCTTTATATGTTTCCTCCTTATAATTGTCCTTGACATTGCTTATTAG